AGAAAGCACTTTTCTAGCAGGTATTTTCTTTTTTAATCATAATTGTTTGTACCTGCTGATGTTCTGATTTTTAAAAGCTAATTCCAGAGAAATAGGAAAGGAAGACAAAGGCAGGTGAACCTGATCTGTGAGGCGCCATGAAAGGATGTGGTTTCATGGTGCTCTGGAAGCACACCAGGAGGAATTACACCAGCATCCCCTGTCCTGTGCTCTGCTCCATCAGAGTCACTTTTGTACCCATTGCACAAAATGGGAAACAGGGCAAAAAGTGGGGGGAGTGAGCTCTGGAGTGCATTCCTGGGCACTTCCAGCATACCCCATGTCCCATCTGAGCTGGTCCCTCATTGCAGACAGTGAGTCTGTGGCAGAGCTAGGAATAGAATCCAAGCCCTTGTTCCAGCTCCCAGATCCTCAAGAGTATTTTTAGGAACTTAATACCATTAATTTTATACTCTTTTTGGACAAGGATCTTAGAAACAAGATCTTAGAAGCATGCTTCCTCCTGAAATAATTTTTTAAATCCTACTTTTATGCTCTTGGACAACTTTTTTTCAGGGATCGTGTACAATTTAATGCCATTTAGGAACAAATGGATTTAAAAATTACTTTTGGGAAGACTTCTGCATGGGCTATGCTTTTGTGCAGCCTTAATGTGTGAGTAAGGATGGGGAGGAGATGGTGCACAGTCTTTGTGTTCTACAGGGCAAACAGTACCTGTCTGTGAGGGGCTTTGGCAGAGGGCAGTGGGGGCTCAGGCATCTCATGTTAAAGCTACTGAAAAGGTGGAGAAAAAGTTCTACATCTACAGATTTTTACACACAATCATATTTTTCATTGTGCAAACTCAGCAAACCCCTTTAAGCCCTGCTCCTGCATCCTATCTATTATTAATTAATTGATTTCCTATAAGCAATTGAGTTCCTCACAGGGTGCTCAGCTGCAGACAGTGGAACTGCTCCTGTCACAAAATAGCAACAGGTCGAAAAGGCCAGGCCGGGCAAAGGGGAGGTTGAGACTGGACATTCAGGAAGTGCTGGATGAAGGTCTCAGGCATGCGGTGGGATTCCTGCGTCTGTCCTGTGCAGGGCCTGTAATTGCACTCGATGTTCCTTGTAGGTTCCTTCTAGCTCAGGATATTCTGTGATTTAGCAATCCGGAGAAATGTCTTCACTGCAAGTGCTGTGCAGCTCTTGCACAGGCTGCCCCGGTCAGAGGTGCAGTCATCACCCCTGGAGGGGATTTAAAGGCTGTGTGGTACGGCACCTGGGGACGTGGTTACTGGTGTCCTTGGCAGTGCGGGGGGAACTTTTCCAACCCCAGCGACTGACTCTGCAACAGGGTGGGAGAGCAGCTTCCCATGGTGCAGCCACTCATCAGGCGGGCAGATGAGCAGGTGTGTTTCAGTGTCGACACTGCAGGAAGGGAAGGTGTCGAAGGCTGCTTTAGGGACTGCTCATCCGGACAACGACCGTGGGAGGAAGCCAGGGAGGAAGCCCGTGTGGGAGAGGTTCCATCGCCAGGGCAGGCGTGGCAAGAAGGGCTCTCTGTATGGAGAGGCTCCTCTGTGCTCCGTCCTCTCCTCGCTCGGTCCAGCTCGGGTGGTAAACGCGCTTACTGCAGCGCTAATGTCCTGCAAGTGGGATCCCACCTCCAGGTATATTAGAGTAATGAGTTCACACCTAACTAATGGAGCCTTAATAGAGTTACTAATAGGCTGCCTTTTCCCCCCACGGTTTATGACCCCGCGGCCGGGGCTGTCAGGGGAGGGAGAGGTGAGAGGCAGTGTCAGCCCGGCTCGGCCCCCGGCCCGCGCCTGGCCCGGCAGCGTTTCCAGGGACATCGTCTCTCCACCTTTCCGCGAGGAAAAATAAACAGTTTGAGGCTCCTGTGTCTTTATTAAACATTTCCTTTAAGCTGCATACTTTGGCTCCCTGCCCGCATGCACCAAGAAAGCATCCACAGAGCAGCTCCGCCGCGGGCCGGAGCCGGCAGCCCCCGGCGGGGCGAGCACCTGCGGCGCTGCGGGAGCGGCGGCGGGAGCCCGGGCAGCCCCGGGCGGAGGCGCCGGCGGCGAGCGGCGGCAGCATGGTGGCCCCGGGCCAGCACGCGGCTGCGACGCGGCAGCCAGGTGGGTGGGCAGCGCCGGGCGCCGCGTGCCCGGGCCGGGCGGGGGCCGGGCGGGCACGGTTTGGGCTGGGGGGCTCCGCTGCCCCGGCGGCGGCCAGGGAGCGAGGGCGCGGCGGGGACGCCGGCGCGGCCTCCGGCCGGCGCTGCCAGGTAAACAGCCGGGAGCCGCGGGGCTCTGCCGGGCTCCGCCGGGCTCCGCGGGGCCCCGCCGGGCTCCGCCGGGCTCCGCCGGGCTCCGCCGGGCCCCGCCGGGCCGGACGAGCCGCCCGTAACCCCTTCGTGCCCGCGCCGCTGCTCCGGCCCGGCAGCGCGCCGGGGCCCGCCCGCCGCACCGGGGGCCGGGGATGCCAAACGGCCGAGGGCCCCCCGGTGCCCGGCCGGGGACGGGGGCCAGAGCCGGGCGCTGCTGGCCGGCGCGGCTCACGCAGCATCCCCAGCGGCCGAGCCCCACAGCTCAGGTACAGGCAGCTGCGCAGCGGCTAAGAATATCCTCAGTTTGCTGTTGCCTCATTCACCAGAAATGTGCCTTCTCTGCCTTCGGAGCAGCCCAGCAGTTAAATTAGTAACTACGATAAAAGCTACCAGTGCTGTTTGGAGACAGGGTTTCTAGATCCCCGTCATCCCGAACAAGGTGCGCATGGAGCCATCCTGGAGCTTGAGCCTTCAGTCCCCTACGCCAGCATCCATCTCGGCAGAAATGATGCACAGCTCCTCGCAGGCTCTGCCTGGGGTGGGACTGGATCTGGATCTTCCTCAGGCAGGACAGGGGATTTTTTTCAGACATTGTCCAATAAATACTGTGCATCATCTGAATGTCTGTCCTGTCCGGAGAGGCAGAGAGGAATTGCAAGATAAGGAGCTGAGGAAAACCGCCAGCCAGCCACTGCTGATGGCCAGGTGCCTGCTTCTCCCTGCTCTGCTTTCCCCCCAGAAAACAAAGCTGCCGTCATACGAGTGCCCATAAAACACGAGGCATCCCGAGTGCAGAGATTAGTGGTAATTTTACAAGGACTCAAATAACGTCGGTCTGCAGGGTGCAGCACTGCCTTGAAAGGGAACAGCAGGCATTTCCCCTGGAAGCAAGTTTCCTCTTTAGAGCAGTTTACTGCCGAGGTGCAGTGTCACATTGTGGCACAAATACAGTGTCAGCCTTTGGTTTGGAAGATGAGCATTTGATACCTCTTTCTGCTGCCAAAATGCACTGCCCAGACCCAGCTCCCAGCACGGTTATTTTTTGAAGCATTATGTAATTGGATTGCATGGTCAGTAGTGCTTCCTTAACAAGCCTTTCAGCAAACCCTCTGCCTGCTGCAGCCAATCCTCAACCCTTACATACACACTTACTCACGCAGGCTCAGTCTGGAGTAAACTCGCTGCTAAATACAGTTAGGAAACGACGAAACCAGGCTGGGAATAGATCATCTGCTTCCCCGCGCTACGTGAGCCGTGGTGTGGCCAAGCCCTGGGTGCCGCTGGTGTGAAAGCGGGGTCATGCTGACGTATCCCAGCTGAGGGGTCACTGCTGCCTCTCTGCCGTGCCTCTCCCTAACGGGGTGAAAAAATCTGCTTTTTGGAGCACGGAGAAGCAACTGGACTCGTGTCCTTGTCTGCTCTCACCCTGCCATGACTGCCCTGAGCCCTGGGGACCAGCTTTGGGAAACGTCTCCGAAGGCGCTCAGGCCCAGGGCAAGAGGGCCTTTATCCCGGGCTCTGGTGGAAGTGAAGGGCTGAATGGGAACCAAGGCTCCACGCAGCTCCCGGGCCTGTCCGGGCGCCGCTCCCACGGGGCCTGGCCGGCCCGGGCCTCGCCGCGTTTTCCAGGAGCGTCCCTCTGCTCCGGCCGCTGTCAGCCCACGGGTTGTGGCTCTGCTGACTCACGGCTTCCTGTTTGTGATTGCTGACTGGTGGCAGCAATTGCAGAAGCAATAAGAGATATTAAAAAGCGTGAACTTCCACTGGGACCAGGAGATACAATTAGGGCTGTGCCAAGAAATACACTGCAGCGAGCTGCGGAGCCCTGCAGCCCCCCGTTCCCTTGCTGCAGGAAGTAGGAAAATGAACATCACTGGCCTTTTATCATCTCTGAACCCAAATAAAAATTGCATTTGACTTCTGAAGCTCACTCTGGCTCTTTTCCATGCTCCTCCTCAAAGCCTTTGATCCAGCCTTCTGTCTGGGTCTCCTCTACCTGCTGCTGCTGCTGCTGAGATGTAGGGATCCGTGTTCTGTGCTTTCACCTGACTGATTCTCTATGAAAAGCCTGCATGAGGCTGTGTAAAGAGGCTGCTTTAGAAGGCATGCACAATCTAATATTATTTCCATTATTTTTTTATGGGAAATATCTCTGGGGAGAAGCATGAAAGTATATGGAGAAGGTGCTCTTTGATCAGTAAGGTCTAAATGTAGCATCCAAACTGCATGTCTGTTTCTTCTTATTATTTTGAAATTCATCTTAAAGTGCTACTCCTGGGTGGGCATTTTCCTGTTTCTTCTTCCTTGGCTTGAGCATTTGGAAGCATTGCCATCAGTTTCGTCTCCAGCCCTGGTGGGGATTGTCCCCAAAATGATTTCACCACCTTATTGTTACTGTATATCAGTCTTTCAATGTGTTTTAATTCCAATTTTAGCCTGATTGTCAGAACGTACATTCTGGTTATTCAGCTGAGGACAGGAGGTGGAGGATGGTGTTCTATGAACTGTGTGTCACTGGAGGACAGAACATATGCTGAGGCTGGTCTTTGATGGATTGAAGCTACAGTAGTTTGCAGCTAAGAAAAAAACACTTCACTTTTGTACAGGCATTAAACTGACTTCTAAATTTTTTTTTAACTCTGTGACAGACATAGGGCCGAGAACTGGTACAGAGAACAGACATTAGGGGAGGAAAAAAATCCATCCCAAAACCTCAGTTATTTCAAAACATACCAAAAGTGGATTGACAGTGGATGAAGAGGAGGAGGAGGCAATAGTGAACACACAACACAGTTCAAGCTGGCAAGGAGCCTTTTCTTGAAGAATGTAAGTTTAACCTTTAGCATTCAAGTGTCTGGGCTTAAGTGTCATTATGAGCAATATTTTCCTCCAGCACAGCCTCTCCTGCTTGGAGGAGGGTTCTGTGCAGCCTCATCCATTTTCCCCTTTCCCGTGTATAAAAAAATGTGTTTCTGGTTGCATGCGCTCTGCCAAGGCCCTTTGGGTGGCAGAGCCTCTGGGCACAGTGCGGGTGGTCCTGGATGGGCCCAGGCAAGGGCCTGCCCGGCCAAGGGGGCTGTGGAGACCCTGCCACAGCTCTGGACTGATGGAGCGAGAGCTTTGGGGTTTGCTGGTTGAATTTAGGTTAAAGGTTTTGTGCCTTGAAGTCACAAGAGGAGCTGGCTGGGGCAGCAGTCCCCCCAGGGCACGGCCTGCAGCCAGCCCGTGCCCAGCCCTCGGGCTGCCCAGCCCGGGCACAGCACACCAGCTGCCTGGGTTTGTTGTGCCCACAGGAGGAAGAGCGATCTGCTGGCAAATTGCTTTTGGGAGAACCAAACTCAAACGAGGAGCGGGAAGGGTGTTGCCATTGTCATCATCACCCCCTGCAGTGCCAACCTCACCTTTTGATGGAGACACAGAGGAAAAAATTAGAGAGACACAGCAGATGAACATCAGACCTGGCTGTGGACAGGCTGCATGTGTCCCCTCCCCCGCCCCCCCAAAATCATCTCCAGCTGTAAAACACTTCAGGGCTGACAGAAACCACACGCAGCCCAGTCATAACCCAATCTGCAGAGCTGCATTCCAATAAAAGCGCAGCGTGGACCTAGGAGAAACACTGTCCAGGATTCCCCGGCAGGATGGGTGCTGGGCTGGGAGGGATCCCCCGAGGCTGGGCGCTGGGGAAGGGGGGCACAGCGAGGCCCCCCAGCCCCCGCCGCTGCTGCTCGGCACGGCCCTTGGGCACAAATGAAAGCATTGTTGGCCGGGGTGGCTGGGGATGGCTGCGGGGGACGTGGCGCTGCAGCCACAGCCCGGGCCCCCAATTTCAATATGCGCCGCTCACGTCGCCGCAAATGTCAGATGTGCTTATGTTAAATACAGGTAATATCGTGGCGTGCGGCTGGGAGCGTGATTCCTGCAGATATCTTGTCTGATGAATTTTGCATCTCGTGTTTGTGATTTTTCTGTGCAAAGAAGTACAGGTTTGAGAGGAATAGGAGCAGATATTTACAAAGAGATAACGATGAACTGTTTGATTAAGTGCAGCAAAGATGCTATGTCAGATCCGATTTCTCACTGCTTACAACGCAGGGGTGGAGGACGTGGTTACTATATAGTAAGTGCAGCTGGTGCTGGTGCTTAACTTGGTGAATAATTCAATGCAGACTTTCCTGCAAATCTCCAGCTTAATTCTGAAATAAGTCAGAGGCAAAGGAGGCTGATGGACTGTTTTCCAAGGAGCCTTGAGTACCTGGCTGGCACAGAGAGAAGAGAGTTGCATTGCTGTCACTGCTCCTGGCCCCAGTGCGGGCTGAGCACAGCAACTGCCAGCCCTGGGCCGGGGTCCCTGTGCAGCCGCTGCACCTGACAGACCCAAATGAGCCCCCAGACAAGCCAAGGTGTCTTGGTCTCCCTGCTGACACACTCTGAATTCTGTGGAAACCACCCTGTAGTCCAGAATTCTTCTCAATGCTGAAAACATGGGGTTTTTTTCCCTAATTCTGGGGGAACTGTAATTTTATTTTGTAATTTATTTCCCTCTTTTTTCCCTTTAAGATGATTCCCAAACATTTATTGTGGGATTTTTCATTTAAAATAGTTTTCTAGGGGAATTACTGTGACAGTGATTTAATTGTTTAATTAAAATCTGACATTGATGACAACATAAATACAATAGGCACGAGGTGATACAGGCATTAAATAAGTGCAATTGTGGAATACATCCACAGAGTACTCTGAGCACATGGAGCCGCTCACAAAGAAATGATGTTCAATATTTATCAGGTTAGTGACTCCTAATTAAATGCCAAGACTTTTTTTCTTCATTTCTCTCAAAAAGCCAAGAAACATATAGATGTATTCCAAGTGTTTATTCCCATGGCAAACACATCCACTCGTGTTATGGCCTGCAAAACAAGCAAATGCACGTTACAAACCTGCTGTCTGACTGAGGGGTGTTTACTCAGCCTGACTGCAGCAGCCTTGCCAGGTTTGGGGACAGCTGTAATAGCCCACAGAGGTCCTGCCACTCCCACTGCCTCGAGTACGATGTCTTTTAATAATCAGGTATAACCCCAAAAATAGATTGGAGACAAAAGAATAAATGTTCCTTTGAAATGTCCCTCAGCCCAAACCTCCCCAAATCCTACAGCATTTCTTCTAGAGCAATAGTGTCTCCCCTCCAGCACCCCATGTCTCAGGAATAAGGGCAGCAGCCCCCCCAGTAACTGAGGCAAACATGACCCAGAAGAAATCCCTGCTATCTGGCTGAAATTGCTCAGCAGTGTGGCTCTCCAGCCGTGCTGCATTTTTGCATCCCAACAATGACTGTGCTGCTGCTGGAATATCCCTTTCCATGCTTCTTGCTGGGCGTCTCTAAATGGTATCAACTCGCTTCTGCGGCTCAGCAAGCCCTGTGCAATCCATCGCTGCCGATTGCCTGCCCTTTCCCCTTCCAAACCCAGAACAAACACATCTGCTCCAGCTCAATTCCCCTCAACCTTCCCCCCTTCTCCTGCTCAACTCCTCACAAACAAACTTTCCAAAGGAAAAGCCACCTTACCTGGCCAGTGCTTTGGGCATAGAGTCATACAAACTGATCAAGGCAGACATCCTAACTCCAGCACAGGGATTTGATTGCAAATTTCCATTGCAAAGGAGCAGAGGGAACTGGAAATCTGACAAATGCCTTCAAATTGACCTGTGTTTCCACAATGCACGCAGTGTTTAAAATGAATGGCAGACTTTATCATTTGGAGCTCCTTCAAGGACTCTGGCCTTCCATGCTTTGTTCTGATTCTTCAGACAAATTTCCAAGAAGCATAAAGCTATGGAAGTGGATGATATTATGGAGGCTTTTTCTAAGCTGAATCTCCCCCCTTCCAACAATAATTTTTCAAACCTTAATTTTAAAAGATAGCCTGGAACTTTTTTTTGGCTCTCCCCACACATCAGCCCCTTGTGCCCCATCAGCCTCCGGCACCGCGGAGTGTCCCCAGTCCCCCCGTGCTGGGTGGCCAGCGATGATGGGATATGCTTGTGGATCCCTAAAAATTCAGCTGAGTGCAGTGCTTTCACCACAGCAAAGCTGGCCCACCCCTGCCTCCTGAGCCCCTGGCAGCCAGGTCATGTCTCCAGGGGAAGACCTGATCTCGCTGCAGAACCCAGGGAACCAGAGCTGCTCACCCTCATTTTACATGTTAAAGATAACAACCATTCTTGCTGAGAGTCCTGTCCAGAAAGCCATATTTACTCTGTTGGAAAAACATTTTGCTTCAAAGTTGTTCCTCTTAATTTGTATATATTTCTACAAATAATAACTTCCCTTGAAAGCACTGCTATTCGTTCTGTCTGTTCAAAATAACAGAAATGAAATGATACAAATCTTTGCGCAAATACATCAGATATGCCATGAGACAAAAAAAGGGGTTAATCTAATAATTCAGCTGTGTCTTTAGCAAGTTTCCTATGGGAAAAATCAGTCTTATTTTCACTGCAGATCTGATACTAAGAGCTTCTTTCTGTTAAGCACATTAAAAGCTATTTGAACCCAAAATCCCATCTATGCGTATGCAGAGATACACATATAGAAACAAGATGCACCCACACAATTGCAGATGAGGCTGTATCAAAATTTCTAATTCAAGTAAGGGAAGCCCCATTTTATATTTTAGCAACCAGATTTTCTTTTTGCCTAGAACAAAGAATTCTTACGGGAAGTAAATTTTTTAGAGGAGACACACGTGCACATACATGTAATCATACCTAACGATTTCTGTGCGAATTATCCCTTAATTCCTTGGCTGTGTTTCGGTGTTTGCGTAGTGGTTTATCCGCCGGTCCTGCAGCCGTCACTTGTTCCTTCCCTTCTTTGCACACACAGCTTCCCCTCGCCACCTCTTTTTGCAACCTGGAAAACTGGGAACTCTCTCCTTCCCCAGCCTCCAGACGTCTGTGTGCAGGACGAGGGGCAAACCTCTGCCCTCTGCTCATCTGCTGTTTCCCTTCCCAGCCCGAGTTCCTGCCTTGCCAGGAGGGGAGGGAGAGATGTCCTAGGACTTGACCCCAGGGCAGAGCCTGCTCGGGCTGGACCAGCTCCCAGGAGGGTGGGGGGCCGCAGGGCGCACGCCCCTCTCCCCGCTTAACCCCTCCGCTGCTCCGCCGCCCTCCTGCTGCCGGGGCACTCGGGCTCGTCCCGGGCGCGCCGCGAGAAGAAAGACGGAGCAGCGAGGGGCTGCGGCAGGAGGAGCAGCGGGATCCCGAGCGGGGGACGTTTGGTTTGTGTTAACTACCCAGACAGATGCACTTCGGCATGTTTGCCTTTATGGGATCCATATGTTGTCATGGGAAATTAGAGGACAGCGGCACACAGCTCGAATTCGCGATGCAAGCGCAGAGACAACCTCCACGGCTCCAGCCCGCGCTCGCACACGTCCCTGTGGAGGTGCCTCTTTCTGGAGCATCCACAGGCACTCCTTTGCCCCCCAACTTCCCCGCACGTTTCCTTGTGCTTTGCTCTGCAAAAAGCGTGCCCACAGGCAGCACCCGCAGCCTGGGCCAGCAGATCCACAGCCTCAGGGAAAAGAGGCACTTTTCTAAGTTATCCCAAGTGCTAAAGACAAGGGTTACTTTATTTTCGCCTCAACCTCTTCCTCAACCAACGTTTGGTTCACGTTCGGCAAGAACAGCTACAAATTACATGCACCTTCCCAGGCAGCGTACCAAGCAGCCCTGAAAAATTCTGATTCCCACAGGGCTCCATGGTTTGGGGCTTGGTTGGTTTTTGGTTTGGTTTTTTATTTTGTTGTTGTTTTTGTTTTTTTTTT